GTTGGAGATACCGTTTCACCACCGATAACCCCCTCCTCCGCCAGAGATCCATCCACCACCATGTAGCCTTGGGGAATCTGTCAATATTAAAGATTGTCCAAGAAAATGGTGAGTGATGTGCTTCCATAATAGTAGTGGATTTGAATCGGATGCGTTGTGTTTCATATATCGTCATTATGTATTTGTGTTATAATGGACGCAGGTGAGGATTGTTGATCCGTCTTTAGTCTGTGATGTTCCTACGTTACCCAAGGAGCAAAGATTCAGCAGGAGCATTCATATATATATATATATATTCCATGTAGGTGTTCAGATATGCGTGTGTGTATATATATTATATATCCTTTTACTTGTTTTTTCTCCCTTGTCAATTACTTGTGCAATTCATATTTCTTCTCTTTCCCGGCGGTGGTGGAAGACAATAATATGGCAAAGATTAATTGATTTAATTAGACCAGACGGTCCAGAAGATTTTTTATTAATGCTATGAGAATCATATTTTTCATTAAAAATAATTATACCACTAAATTCTATCCAGTATTAAACATTCAGAACTGAATTGATTTTTATAGAACAATGCAATGTGGCATTCCACATAAATTTGAATGGATTTAATTAAACAAAAAAATAAAAAATAAGTGTTTTTATCAATAAAATCCTAAAAGCCAAATAGAATTGAATCAAATTTAATATAAAAATCAAACGAATAAAATTTTTTTAAGAACAAAGATCGAGACTAAAAAAATTAACAAATGGAACCATTAGCAACACCCTTAAAAAAAAGGAACAAAATTCAGAGAGAAAACACAAAAGAAGAAGAGAACAGATGGTTTTTTAGATGACCCACGAAAGCAATGCATCAAAGTTGGATATTGGGTCTTGAGTAACACAGATGAGGTCTCTCTGTTTCCACAGTCACAGCTCAGAGATTCCTTTGCCAGGGCCCCCCATTCCTCACATTCATATATATACCCAGGCATATATGCATTGCCTTTGGCTCTTTATCATTCCCAACTTCATGAACATAGCATTATCATTTTAATTTTAGGCAAATATTATATAATCATGATATGTAATATACATATGCATATATATATACACACACTCATATAATTATTTTTGGCATGCTTTAACTATATTCACTTTAAAATTACTTGTGCTATTAAAATATCAAAAAATTGAAGGAAAAAACAGAATAAAAAAAAAGTTAAAAATCTCAGGTAAACAATTTTCATATTTTTTTAACAAAATACTATGATACAAAATATTGATCAATTTAGACAATTAATATTCAAATTCTAATTTTAACACTGATAATAAAACAAAGTAATATATAAATTAATAAAGTATTTTTTGAATGCTTACTATTTTATTCCTTAATCTTGAACCCAAATTAGCAATTTTATTACATTAATATTTCTCTAAGATCACACACGCTCGAGAAAGGTCATCGCACGTGGAGGAGCGGTCTTATGTTCCATCATACGGACGGGAGAGACAAAATGCGAGCCTCAGTGGTCACTTTGTGCCTGACACTTATGGGTCCACTTTCTCTTCATCCAACATTCCCCACGCGCTCTCCCACGGCGCGTGTAACTCACCCTCATCCTCTCTTTTCTCAATTTGAGAGTCCCAGTTTTTTTTTTTAAGTTTTTTTTTCAATCTCTCCTCCCTCTCTCTCTCTCTCTCACCCTAAGATCACAAACTCTTTTGGTTCTTTCTCTGTCTTCAGAAATTTTTTCTTGGCGAGTTCTCTTTTTTTAGGAAAAAAAGGAAATGATGGCTCCAGACATGGCGACGATCATAGAATCTCTGGAGAGGTCTATGCGGAATTGTTCCCTGAGTAATCGGGAAAGAAGGGTCGGAGGAGAAGAAGAAGACGAAGAAGAATCATCGATATCGGATGATAATATCAATGCGATGACCGAAGAACACATCCCGATCTCCGACAGAACCTTGGAGCTCGGTTCCCACGTCTCTCTTCCTTGTCACTGGGAACAGTGTCTTGATCTCAAGGTGGAAAACAAAATAACAGATACCCATTTCTTCCTTTTTGGCCGTTTTGTGTGCAGAATCTTCGAAATTGTGTCCTTTTCGCATTAGGGATTTGCATTAAATGCGGAACCAGGAGGAGTGGGGGAAATCTTCCTGGTGGGTCATTTTGTTGGATTATGGGTACACTGTGATTTGCCTTTGTTTTTGTTTTCCCATAAACAGCATTTCTTGTTTCCTTCTGTTGCATTTATTGCTTCAACCTACGGCTCCATGCTCGTGCGTATACAAAAAGACTGTTTTCCCAAAAACCCTAGAGAGGAATTCAGTTTTTTCATTGGATTAGGCGAAGTTGGAAGAAATTTGAAGGGAAAGTTTCAGGCTTGACCATGGAAAATTCCGAGATTTTGAATGGGATACATAGGTGGATGCGTACACATATACACACAAAGCCAAAAAAAAGCTTTTTTTTTACTCCCCTTCTTGCTATTTTATCAATTATAACTAGAGTCCTTTTGCTTTTGGATAGTGTCTTTCAGGGCAAAACAAATGCTTTTTTTATTCAAGGAATGTCTGTGAATCCGATGTCCATTTATAGATCTCGAGCACTGGAAGTTTCTGTTTTTATGAAACAGGAAAGTTCTGGATCTGGAGAATCCATCTCATTATAAAAAAAAAGAAGTAAACTTTAGCAGAAATAGAGGTATTTGAAAGATGGGTATTTGTACCACATGTTGCAGACAGGAGAGATTTACTACATAAACTGGAAGAACGGGGAGAAAGTGAAGGAAGATCCAAGGAGAGTGATGAGCACAGAATGCAACAATGGAGAATCATATACGGAAGAAGAAGAAGACAGCTCGTACGACAGCGAAGAGTCTTGGTCTGATGAATCATCCAAAGAAGAAGAAGAAGAAGAAGAAGTGCTGGTTGTGGCTGGTTGCAAAGCCTGTTTCATGTATTTCATGGTCCCCAAGCTTGTCGATGACTGCCCTAAGTGTGCTTCTCTACTCATCCACTTTGACCATCCTCGTTCTTCTGTTTCTCCTTGAACTTGTTTTTTTTTTTTCTCCAGATGAGCTCTTTAGGGTTTCTCTCTGTGTTTTTTTCTTCTTTTTTAATCTTAAAATGCGGTTCTTGACTGAGTATTAACACGATTCTCAACGTGGAATGTTCAAACAGTAACCCCAAAAAAAGGAGAAGAAAAACGAGGATTAGTGTTGAATGAATCAGTTCCAAACCGGGTTGGTCCGGTTCGATCCGGTCCGGAAGGAGCCGGGTATTTCCGGAGTTGGGCTGGTTTTGGGAATTACTATGTTACAATTTTGTAACTCTGAACTGATTTGGAAAATGGACTGGTTATATTCATCTTTTTTTTTCTTCATTATTAAAGGAAAGATAAAAAAAAGAATCAATTGTTAGATGAATGAATCTATATTTGACTTCATTATTAAGTTATATCCACCAATTTTCCCTTCAAAAGTACACTTCTATTACTGTTGTTTGATGTTTGGTGGCCTAATTGGAACCTAGGAAAGATTCAAAGCAAACCAAAGATTCCGGTTTATTATGTCCGGTTCAATTACAGGAAACTATACCGGTTTGGGTTTAATCCGGATAAGACAGTAAAAAAACCATTTTCAAAATGTACTAAACTAAACCACTAAAAAATCTTTGGGGGGGGGGGGGCTAATGGAAAACCTCTGTCTGAACAAGAGGTTTTTACCTGTTAACATCATCTTCGCCGGTGGTGTCCGTCCTGACTCCTCCTGGAGATCGAAAACCCCGAGATTCCGACAACTCCGCAACTTTGTTCTTCGATCTCTACGTCGTGATTATCTTATGCGGAGCTTCTTCAATGGCGTCTGGTTCGTTTGGACTCTCCTTGAAAGCCCTAGTCCTCTGCCGTCCTTGTTTTGTCTCCGCTAGAGAGCTCCCTTTCTCTCTCAGGGCACATACGGTCCGTCGCTTCGAAATCTCAATCCGAGTGTCATTTTCTCTGAATTTTCTTCACTTTCTAGGTATCCGAACAGTAACCTAACGACTCTTAATGGGCTTTTCAGGTTGGTCATTGCGGCTGCGTTGGAGCAGTTGCGTCACCCAGTAAGACGGTGAAACCACGCAAGGAACAAAACCATGGTCATTTTCATTACCAATGTCCTTCATCTGAATTGTTAGGCTATAATACTGCGTTTCTCGAGCGTGGGTTTTGGTATTTGTTCAGGTAAAAGCAGGGAGAAGTCATCGCCATGGAAGAAGTTAGATGCTAATGGACTGGGCATTCGAAAGTCCATGATTCCAGAATCGGCACGGATGGTTCTCAATAAGCTGAAAAAGAAAGGTTTACTTCTTGTGAAAGTTTGGGTTGTTCCTGATTAAACGAATCAAATGATCATAACATGTAGTGAAGCTCTGCCACTTACTGTTTAAAGGCTCCACCTTTCTAGTTCTTGAGATTGAATTGTATTCAACTTATTAGATTCAGGAGTAGTGGGTGGATCTGTCTGCTCTCGGGTTTGTTTCCGGAGCTTGTTCTTTACTTCCTCATTGTTTCTCAAGGTGTGCTTCTCGATTGTGATGCAGGGTTTCAAGTTTACCTTGTTGGAGGTTGTGTAAGGGATCTTATATTGGATAGAATCCCCAAAGACTTCGACATTATCACTACGGCTGAGCTTAAGCAGGTTGAGACTTTTCATCGATGGTTAAACGTAATTGGATGTCTGAAATTTTTTTAGCTTTTGCAGCCATACATGATTGTACTGTGTAAGCTTGTATGATTGACCATGACCATCTGGCTGTGGCTTCTTTCCCGTTAGGGAAGTAATCTTTCTAGGATAAAATTTTGCTCTACCAGTTTACTTTTCTTTGTTGAGCACAGGTTCGAAAAGTATTTCCCAGCTGTCTTATTGTTGGGAAGCGTTTTCCCATATGCCATGTTCATGTTGATGACACTATTGTAGAGGTTTGTACTCAGAGACTCTGCCCACCATTTCACTGATCCATATATATATATATATATATATGTAGAGCATGTACTTAGAAGAAGTTCTAATTCAGAAAGCTGTCTTATTGTTGGGAAGCGTTTTCCCATATGCCATGTTCATGTTGATGACACTATTGTAGAGGTTTGTACTCAGAGACTCTGCCCACCATTTCACTGATCCATATATATATATATATATATATATGTAGAGCATGTACTTAGAAGAAGTTCTAATTCAGAATTCAATGAATGGTTTGTAGTTGAAAGGACTGCAGGTCTTGTGATTTCTTCTCATTTTTCCTATTGTTTGTCGAAACGTATTCATTATGGATCAGGAAATGAAAATTTCTTTCTCTCTTCTTTATGTTCTGTCTCTTTGTTCCTCTCTAGAATCTTGTTTCCAGAAGTTTGACAGGTTTAATCTATCAAATAGGTTTCAAGTTTTAGCACATCGGCAAAGTCTAGTAAGGGGTTCAAAAATTGCCTGAAACGGCCTCCAGGCTGCAATGAGATTGATTATGCTCGATGGAGAAATTGCATACAGCGTGACTTCACAATCAATGGGTATGTGGTTAGCCTTTATTCATTTATTTTTAAATACAATTTTGTCATTATGTTTGGATTATATTCATGCATATCTGGTGGCGTTATGTCGAACACTCTCCCATATGTTGGCTGGATGTTGCAGGTTGATGTTTGATCCATCGGAGAATGTTGTGTATGATTACATAGGAGGAGTGGAAGACATAAGAAACTCCCAAGTGAGGCTTTCTACTTATATACCTTCTACGTTGGAAAGTCAGTTGAAATGTGCTTAAAAACTGTCATAACCGCTGGTTTGATCGAACTTTTATTCCCCAGGTTAAGACAGTATGCCCTGCAAGGCTTTCATTTGTCGAGGATTCAGGTCAGTAGGGGGTTTTAAATATTTCTTCTTTTACAATGAAGCGTAATTGTTAGAAGTAGTGATTTTAGCAACTGTGTTTGCTTTACAGCTCGCATTTTACGTGCAATTAGGATTGCTGCTCGGCTAGGATTCGGCTTCACTAAAGATGTTGCTGTTTCCTTGAAGGAGCTTTCTTCTTCATTACTGAGACTCGACAAGGTAAAAGCTTTCTTCTTCATTTTTGCTACGAGTAAGCATTTCGGATTTGATCAAAACAATTCTGCAGACGAGGGTACTCATGGAGATGAATTATATGATGGCATATGGCTCGGCAGAAGCTTCTTTAAGGTTGCTATGGAGATTTGGGCTTCTTGAAGTTCTTCTACCTATCCAAGTATGCATTATATTCTTTTCGAAACAGTGACGATATGTTACGAAATATATGAACGGTTGTTCAGAAGGTTACCCCGATCGTTTTTGTTTTTCTACAAGGCGTCTTACTTTGTTTCCCAAGGATTCAGGAGGCGCGATGGAAGATCCAACATGCTTCTGGTACGCATTTCATTTGCAATGTTATTAGCCGCTTGAAACTTTATTACACTCTCTCTTAAAGATTTTGGTACCAAAATCGGTTTAAGCTACCACCGTTTGGTATCTCGTTCTATCAGGACATACACGTCTGTGTCTTGTAGAGTTTGGCATTATAGACTTATGTCCTGTTCGCTCTCTTGAAACCGACATCTTGCCCTGCAGTCGCTGTTTCGCAACCTTGACAGACTTGTAGCTCCTGATCGGCCATGTCCAACTCTTCTATGGTGAGAGAAATCTTGTCTGAAAGATACCCGGATTTGGATTCGAATTGAAATACCCGAATCTTTGACCGCAGGATCGGGATCCTGGCATTTCATAAAGCTCTGGTCGATCAGCCTCGGGATCCGATTGTAGTAGCCGCCTTCTGCCTCACTCTCTTCAACGAAGGATCCTTGTCAGAGTCTATCGACGTGACAAAGAGCATCACTCAAAAACATAACTCCGAGTTCCGTGAACTGTCCGCCAGAAGAACAGATTCCGATTCAGACGCCAGATTGTCAAAGCAAGTCGTGGAATTTGCGGAATCGGTAAGATCAGCGGTACGCAAGATGAAGGATCGAGATTATATATCCAGAGCCATGAGAGAATACCCACAAGCACCCGAATCCGATCTGGTAATACATCCAACATCACAAAGATTTAAGAGACATCAATCAAAGAGTGATGGAACTGTAATTGGCTGCTGTCAGGTGCTGATGTCGGAGGCATTGTCGGAGAGAGTGATGAGGATATTCGCGTGCGTAAGAAGGGGAAACCAGGAGAGATGCTGTAAGAAGAGGAGGGAAGGAAGGATTGACTACAAGTCTCTGGCTTTAGGAGATTTGCAGGAGACGAGACGTGTTCTCGCTCGGATTGCTTTCGACACTGTTTACCCTCCGCCGCCATAGCCTCTGATAGTCATAACCTCATTGGTTCCGAATTAGAGTCAATCTATAAATCAAATAAAATCGAATTACAAATTTGATTTAATTTTTGTATTAATATTTCCAATCTGATTAAACCGAATATCTCATCTTTTTATCATTCAAATGCTCATTTTTCTGCTTCTTTTTTGTTCTTAAGCTTAGTTTTTATCGCGATATATATATATATATATTCCTTTTTTTCTTTTTGTTTGAACGAATTTATAACCATTTTATGTAAAATTATCCGTCAGACCAATTTCAAGTCCTGATAAATCCACATATTTAGTCAACTTTCTTTTTTTGGAAACTGTAACTTAACAAAAATTCAGAAATTTTTGGAAATTGTGTTATATAGCTACCTATCTTTTTCTACTTTAAAACCGTAAAATAGTTTAATTTTTAAAGAATATCATACTCTTAATAATTTAAGAAAATATATGTCTGTTCTGTTAGTGAGATAAAAGATCATTCCAACCTCATCCTTGGTAATATCCCTCTGCAATGTGTCACTAACGCAACCACAGTAACTTTTTTTTTAACTCTCAAGTCAATGATTACTGTTTCTCACTGTGAATCCCATTTTCTCTTTCATTTTTTTTTCGAGGACCACCTTCTTCGACCAGGCAATACAGATCTCTGTCTGTGACTGGGCTGCTGTTCTTGTTCTTCTTCTTGTTGCTTTGGCTTATGCTACAGCTTTTGAGACCGTAAGGATCATTAACTGCCAAATCTAGACATACTATCCGATCAAATCGGTTCGAAAATGCTCCGACCCTTTACAGATCTTCGGCCATGGCGAATGGATATGGAGCCTGGACCCGTCGTGTCTCCAGATTTCAGCCTCTGGGCATGAACCCATCATCACTTCCGGACCATTATCAAACGTTTCTGGTAACATCTGGATACGGTTTCACCCACTTTCCCTAAATCCCATGTTTTTGAACTGATAGCGATCACTCTCTCAACTCAAAGAATCGGTGGGTTTAGTCATAGTAATAGACCCCAAGGCATTGCAGATTCTCCACTCATTTGCCTTGGTTGGAAAAACAAAGTTCCCTATCTGCTCACTCTCGTTATGATCATGCCGGGTTTTCTTCGTCATCCGGGCTTAAGTTTTGCCGCTCGTTTTTTTTTTCGTGAGGCGAAAACGATATATATATATATATAGATTCACGGTTTGATGGCAAAGTCATGCTCGTTCGCCCTCCGGTAAAGCAGAGCTGATGCTTCGACCCTGCAGCCGTTTTGCAAAAGCGCAAAGAAGAAGAACCCGACGTTTATGGATATGGCATACAAACGAGTTATGAATTCGGACATAAGAAAGGGTTCGATCGAGATCTTACCATCCAGGATGAACCACAAATCTTCCTGTTGATAGACCCCAATTCACCTGAGATTCACACAAAACCCTCGGATTCAGACTCCATTGTTTAGGCGTCGGAAAAAGGAAAACGGGATTCGAGGTTTTTTTCCCTGATGATAATACCTTGTCAGTGCCGAGAGAATTGGCCACGACATGAGTGACGTGATCGTCTATTTGGGTGGCGCAGACAGCGCCAAACTGCTCGGCTGTCTGCCACAAGGGGTGTAGGTGCGGATTTGCTTCGCCAACCGGGAAAACCCGACTGAATACAATCCGACAACCTGCCAGTATATTCCGTTGCTCCGCCGCTAAAATGTTTCTCACGTCCGCTTCATCTAACGATGGGTGTGAGAAAAAGTTCCGATGTATTCTCTCTATTACCTGGAAGCAATGATTTGATGAAATCGGAGAAAATGAGCATTAAAAAACTCGATAAACTGCGAAGGTATGTATGCATTAACAGAGTGCCAGCCAAACCGCTAACGAAGATGCCAATGTGCCGTCCTCGGGTCTCTCGTCGTGATCGATCTCAAGAAGAGAAGGACCCAGAAGCCCGAATTGCCGTCTACTACACGGGAAATATGTATATCTGCAGATATAACATGAGGACACGAAAAATTACAATCGTAACCGAGGTGATTATGATTCATTAAGGATTGGATTAGTACGAAAGATGTTACCTTTCTACGACGATTAGATTCATTTTGTTATGGGGCCACACTCTGACAGAGTCATCGATGATCACTACAGCAGATTCCATACCCAAAACTCCCTCAAGATCCTTACTTTTTGGAACTCTGTCTTCGCCATCAAAGGGATCTCCATCATCGCCTCTCGAGATAACTCGTCCATTGAAGAGAACCCCTTTCGGATCGAGCACTTTCGCCATCTCCGTAGCATACAACTTGTTACCCATTGTATATAGATGCAGCTCATACAGCTTGCTCGCCTGAAATTTCGCAGGGAGACGTTAAACAAAAAAAGTTTGTAATCCCGGAAAATGATTGTTCGAAGCAACTAAAGAAACCACCTTCTCCAAGAAATTCCAAACCCCGGGTCGCAATTTAGTCCACATTCCCATGTGGGGGAATCGAAAGAGATGTCTACATGGTTTTTCACGATCTTGCTCTTCTTTCTTCCTCAAAATCTCATCATGGATTGGGTCGACTTCATTAAACTGAACAAGATGGAAAGAATTTAGCAATCAACCAAAAAAACTAGGAGAGGTTGGAACGGTGGATGAATTAACCTTTGCTGAATTAAGAAGTGTGTGATCCAAATCCAGTACAAGGCAAAGCTTTTGAGAAGCAAACATTTTCTTCTGCTCCTCTAACCTCCTCGATCTCTCTCTTTGGATAGCGGCTCTTTGCTTGTCATCATATCCTTCGAAAAGATGTTCAACAACTTCCCAATTGTTCAGAGAACAAGCCGGACCAGTTGCAGCTGTCGCCGAAGCCGAAACACCTCGCTGTCTCACGTCTTTGTCTTTCTCTGTCTTAACCGGAGGATTGCTGAATTGTGAAACGGCAACCACTTCGGCAACATTTTTCAGATTTTTGGTGAATTGGGTCGAAATATCTGGCTCCTTCCCGTTGAGAAGAACACCAGGATTATTCATATTGCTCGTAACTTTCTGGCTAGTATCTTGCTGTTGAACAAACTGGGAGGCTGCTGGTTTGATTTCGAAACTCTCATCCGCCTTATCCTTCACAGCTATGGTTCCAGATGTAGAAGGTTCACTCACTTTGAACCGATTTTCCACCAAACTCCCGGTTTTTTGAAGAGTATTTCCATGCAGGATTCGTCGAGGATCACGTGGTTTCATGCGGATACTTCCCGATTCATCCTGTAACGGGCAGAATATTTAGTTACTCAGAGATAAGTTGAAAGAAAAAGGGTTCTAAATTGTGGCATCTACGGCAAGAGGATACTCACTGATGGGGCAGATTGAGATGAATCTTGAATCACTCCTGCAGGCTTTGACAAATTAGGTGACCTAACCGGCGGCACGAAAGAGCCGGGAAGTTGAGCTGCTCTTCTCGGGTCCGTGGGCTTCTGAGGAGTACTACTCTCAGTTACTTCTCTCTGCCTTTCTCCCATCTTAAGGAGGTTCAATAACATTGTAGGATTAACTGCAACAATATCCTTCAAAAGCGATGGTAATGAACCAGTGGAGGTATTAGTTACAGATGTCATGGAAACGCCATTGCTGGGCGTAAAACTTCTTGCCATCGCCATTGATGTTGTTGCTCCATTTTCCATTGTCCTCGGAATGGGATTCACTCTTGATGAATCTGTCTCCTCAAGCCACCCACTGGTACCAGCTGCCTTTGCCAAATCCTTAACACCTTCATGACTTTCAAATCCGTTCTTTCGCCTTTTCCAAGCAGGACCATTGATAAGAGGCACATCACCGGCTTTTACCTTTCTTGAGCTAATGAATCCTCCAGAAGACTCCACTCTCGGTTTATTACCGACACTGCTCGAAGAATTCTGATTTGCAGAGGGTAAAGCCGAACCATCAAGTTTGGCAAACCGAAGCCTCGGGTCTCTGCTCTTCGCAGAGGGTTTTGCTGTCGGATCCGATGTATTATTTGGAAGATGGTTTCTAATGTTCAAACTGGATGGCAAAGGAACATCATGCCCAGGAATCACGAGTCTCCCAGGCTTCGAGCTGTGAACAACAGAACTGGAAACCTCGCCACAAATATCACCGTTGCCATTATTAGATTCCTCTGATGGCGTCGGACTTGGAAGGTCATCGTAGGTCCTAAAGAACGAATTACGACCAAACTTCTGCTGATAGCTAGAAACTGCTTTGATGGCATCACTCTCATATGGGTGAACTTTACCGACAGGAGTACCCAGTTTAACCACAGTAAAATGAAAAGGATGAGGCCTGTTCGAAGGTAAGGATGGAGTCGGTTCCCTTGTCGGTGAGGGAAGGCTGTCTATATCATGATCCTTGTGAAGATCAAGCAGCGGAAGCAATGGCGCTCTACTTCTTAAATTAGATGTTCCTCGTTTCGAAGCTTCTGATGATATGTTATTGGCATTCATAGAAGGAATCGGACAGCCAAAATCTGCTGCCATAACGCCATTACTTTTCTGAGCAATTCCACCAATCGCCATCCCCTCTTTCTCCTTATAGTCAGATCCAGCATAAAGTACACCATGAGAGCAACTTAGCGACTGAATCATGGATTCTATCTGAAAAGCCAAAACAGCCAAAATTTCGTAAGGCGAGAAAAAACTCTTTCCTTCCCAAGCTCTTGGATACTGGGAAAGATTTCAGCTTTCCGAAACACACCTCTTTGATCTGATTAGATGACAGGAATCGAGAAAAATGACTCTTTACAAGAGAAAGCAACCTGCACAAGAGAAAAAAGAAAGGAAGATATGAATGACCAAATGGTTCTGGTGTGCAAAACCAAGGTTTCATGAAAGAAACCAAGGTTTCATGAAAGAAAAACGCATCAAAATCACCTCGACATAGTCTCCTTATTTAGCTCCTTGGGCATATTGTCCATGGAGCAGAACACCTGAAAGTTATAAAGGATTAGAATTAAGGAACGCCATTGAAAAGGAACCAGAGCATTAGATGGTACAAGAATCAGGCCTGAGAGATTATGAGTAGAGCCATACAGAGTTTACGGTTTCAAGTGCAGCAAATGACAGTTGAACTAGAGTATCCCTCTTCGGGAAATCATCGTTTTCCGAAATCAGATCCCGCAAAGATTCCATAGCCCCAAAAAGTCTGGAACTCACTCCTTCAAATGCTCTGCAAAAGACAGAACATTGGGTCAAACTCCATCACCCACCAATGGATTTAACTTCATCAACGAGTATTTTGTGTAAAACTGTACAGACAGACTTACGTATGTGCTTCTACCAAAGATGTACTCTCCAAAACACCACGGATCAGTTTCACTTTTTTCTCTAAATCTTCCGCCTTTGTACCGATCTGAGTACCATCGGAATCAGCTGGCAGCGAAATGTCTGATTCAGCTTCGGCCTGACTTCCAAAATCACCCAACTCATCATCTGAGACAGACTCTAAATCGATTTCGCCTTCCTCCAATTCACCTTGCTCTTTCTCATCGTCACTATCTTCAATCACAAGCCTATCACCTTCTTTGCTTTTACCCTGTGAAGATCCTTTTCCGTTTCCGTTTTCACTCGGTTCGATTTCCATTCTCAATGCTTCATTGAGAGATTTGTTCTGCACAGCTTGAGCCCAAGCAAAATTGTACAGACCCGAAGCCGAATAACCTCGGAAACCTGGGTACTTAGTGAGCAGATCATGCATCGTCCATACCCTTGGATTACCACCATTACTCCCTCCTCTTCCTCCGGCACTGTCTCCGCCGCTGGCCGCCGCCTGAGAAGGCTTCTCCTCTAGCCTGGAAAAATCATCTCCGGTGATCTCCTCCACCGACGCTGCATCGGAGATTTCGCCTTCCTCGACATCCACCATTACCACGCTCTCATCATCCTTGCCCATTCCAATTAGGGTTCTAGAACAATCAGATCCAGCAACAAGCATGTAATCCAAACCAAACCCACAAAAAATCCGAATCTTTTCTCAGATTACAGAGAAAAAAAAAGGAATCTAATTCGAAATCGCGTCCGTGAACAAATCGATCAAAAACCGAATCGAATTAGGGTTCTCAAGGGATAATCACAATCTCCATGCTAGATGATTTTTAAAATTAAAAAAATTGCCCTGCAGCAACAAAAACTGAATTCAAATTCACGATCCGAGACGAATTTCAAGTTCTATTCTCTCTTTTCAGATTTCGAAAACTACTTTTTTATTCACTCAGGTTAAACAGAAGAGAAGAACTCAACAATGATCACAGGGAGAGATTTATACTATACAAGGAGGAAGAGGCTATGAGAATCCGAACCGTACACGTCAGCAATCCGAGAATCCGAACGACAGTGTGTGTCAGTAGGGGCAATTATGTCAGTGCAACAAGTAAATGCAACCCTGAAGGAGACTTGAAAGAGTTGGTGAATGACGTAAATTACCGTTTCGGACATGCACTAAATCCGGGTTTCGCTTCTTCTTTTTTACCTTATTCCGTAATTTGTCTCCTGAAGTGGGGCAAAAACGGCATTAACTTTCTCGTTAGGAGTTGTATTGTACTTTTTTGTAATCAGCACGTGGGTGTTTTTAGGTACGGTCTTTGCCTGCATGCCTACGATGATTACATCCAAACGTTATTGGGAATAATCGATGTATATCTATTAATATTAGATATATTTTATAGGGTAAAGATAATATTTGTATAAATTATGTATAAAATCAATTCCCGTAAAACATTCAAGAGAATTAAAGGGATGTACGTTTCCTGTTCGAATCCAACACGTTTGCATCCATCAACCAGACCAAGCTTTTTTTACAATACACCAATGGTGTAAAAACCCTATAAATGTGCAGACTTTGTCCCGTGTTTGTGTGCGTATACAGCTTCTTTCATGGCTGATCGTATATGGACGAAATGGAGAAAAGAAAAAATCTCTCTCTCTCTCTCTACGTGATTTCCCGGCCGTTTTCAAACGAAAACTCTAAAAGAGAAATTGTGTGTCCTTCTCTACAACTTGTCTGCAATTCTTCCGAGAACATCAGCGAGCTTGTTAAGGACAGCGACTAAGCTATCGCCAATGTCCTTACGCTGCTCCCTGTCTTGTCTTAAGTTGGAGTTCTGAGCCTCGAGCTGCGTTTCCAGCATTTTACTGCTTCTCTCCAACACCTCTATCACCTTATGCTGCATTCTGTTCGCTTCTTCTTCTTCTTCTTCTTCCCCAGGAGCTTTTCGTTTAAGCTTTCTCTGTTCTTGGGATGCCGAACCAGCTTTAGGGTTTGCCACTGGCTGCTGTTTCTCATCCGTTGCACCTGCAAGAGCCCAAATGATTTCGGTGAAACAAGGATGGATATATAGGATAGGTATATCAGTACAGCTGATCAGATCTTCTAGTCGAGTTTCGAAAAGGGAAGACTGAGGTATATATGAGGAACTACCCTACTCTTATAAATGGCTGTGTTCCAGAATCCAGACAGCAACTTTGAAAATTCTCCGATGTTTTGAATCGACATTTGTTAGAACAGGGAACAGAGAAAGAACAAACCTTTACCTGCTCCTGAAGCTGCTTGGCCCACCTTCTCTGCAATATGTGAACAAGTCATCAGAATTCGAGCTCTCTGTATATGATTATTCCATGTCTTTTCAGACAAAAAGCTAAGAGCAGAACATCGAGGTCGTTGATAGAACATTTGGGTTGTTCTTAAATTTACCTGACACTGATAGAGGCACCCCCGTCGGAATCGCCTTCACCGTCTCCTCCTGCTCAAAATCAGAGAACAACCCCTCCTCCGCCGAAGTCGACGCCGGAGCCAGAGCAAGAACCAGAGCCGGCTCTTCCGCCGCAGCCGGGGTAGCGCTGCCGTCGATGATGTCGTAGACCTCCTTGTCGAAAAACCCAGGAAGCTTCCTCTCCCTCCTGAGATCGTTCCTCATCAACCAAAACGACTCCGTTTCGTCCTTGATCTGAGACTCCCACTCCTTGATCTTCTTGAAATCGCCGGCGAGGTTGCTCCACCGTTTCCGGCACTGGACGGGACCTCGGTTCACGCCGTGGCGCTTGCAGTACGAAGAGACCGATGCCCACTTCGGCTCCACCTGACCAGACCCGACCACATGGCCGCGTCGGACTCTGTTCTCCGCCACTCTCTTCCCCTGTATCAGCACCAGTATCTCCTGTCTTGTCCACCGAGGCAGCCTCGCCGTCTTCACGCCGTCATCTCCGCCGTCTCCACCGCCGAAGGCGTGGATAACGCCGTTAACGTCGCTGTCAACATTGCTCGTACCCAAGCTCAGCTCTTCCTCCTCGACATCCACCATTACCACGC